TCTTTATAAAGCTTCAAATCCCTTCAATAGACCCATATAGCCAGCTAGCACTAAGCCCCCACAAACTGCCCTTATAGACGCTGGCCATGCCGAATGCTCCCCTACTTTATTTATTTATTTGATGGTTTGAGACGCTCCCCCTGGGTGGATGGTGGTCTAATCAAGTGTTGCAAATTGGATCAGACCTCAAAAAATGAAGTGAAATGCTCACCAAAAAAGGAATACAATAAAGATATAGCTATATAAAAATATTTAAGGTACTCAAGAATAAAAGAGTGGAACCAATTTCAAGGTCAGATTTGCTTAAATATATTAATGTTGAATATCTCCTGCAAAACAAAGACCTTTACAGAGCAGAAGAAGAAATTCTCCATGAAGAATGCATGTCATGTTTCTGTTCCATTTTGGGGGAAGAAAAAAAACAATAAATATTGACTGAATTTGAACTGAAAAACAAAATAAATGATGGCACGGTGTGAAAGACACACAGCTTTATATATAAATGTAAAAGTTTGTGCATTAGAGGAAGCCTCTTATTCACTGTGGTAATATAAATACTGCATTATTGCTGTAATCCAGAATGTTAACATTAAAATACGCTGAAAACAACAGGAAACATTGAGATTTAAAATATAGACAATATGTGATTGGGACAAAGAAGCAGGCTGAAAACTAACATACACACAATCCAAGATGAAACAACAAAATATTCCCTGTGTATGTACACAAGGAATCGAACAAAAGAGTATGAGAAGAATTGAATATAGTCTGTTTTATTCTGTTTTAGTTGCAGAAGTTTTGAAGCCTATCCCAGCTACCATAGGGCAAGATGCAGTGTACACCCTGGACAAATCGCCAGTGTGTCACAGGGTTAACATAGAGGGACAGACAACCATTCACACTCACTCATCACATTAACATAGGAACACAGTAACAATTAACATAACAGAACCCACACGAACACGGACATGCAACTCCACACAGAAAAGCCCCGGCCAGGTGGTGGAGTCCAACAAAGGTCCTTCATGCTGTGAGGCAATAGTGCTAACCGTGCCACAGTGCTGCACTGGGATGCGAACTTTTCTATCCAAAATTAATTATTTTTTGTAAATATAACATGCATGTCAATATTCTTAATCATAAAATACTTATAATGCATAATAATATGCATTTTAGAAGAAAAAACGGTGACTAGTGAAAATGCACACATGCGTTGACACTAAAAACACTAGTAACAGTAGAAACAACAGCAAATAGAAAAATGTTGCAAAAGTACACAGAAAAACCGAGCTGATAAGCTAACAGTAGATAGACGTTTGCTAACAGTAACAAATATATAGTATTATACTTTTAAATGCAATCCTTTACAAGTTTTTTGCTCTTTTACTTCTGCAGTTGTTCCATCACGTTATTGTGTCCCATTTTTCCATTTACAGATATTTAAGTTTTTTTTGACCTTTTAGAGCCACCATACTTTTCAGGGTCGGTGTCAAATAATGAGGTCAGTGTTGAATCTCTGAAAGCCAAAAGCTCAGGTCTCAGGCTGCTTCTGAGAGTTTTTCTACTCTTGGTTTGGTATGATCTCAGTGAGCAGATATATCCTTAATGTCGTCATGGCAGACACATAACTCTGCAGCTCCACCCACCTGCTTTTTCAGAGCTTTTGTTTGTGCGGGGCAGCCAATCAGAAGAAAGCTTTCTGAAAGCAAAAGAGGAGAAAGATACAACTTAATAAAGTGGCCTTGGACTACATGAGCTGAAGGTCGGATGGTTTTTCACTTCCTTTTATAGCAGTATTTTTGGTAAAACATCATCTCGATCATGTGAGTGTAGAGGCCGCTAATAAAATATTTGTGTGATATCTTGTGTCAGTCAGCCTGAAAGCTTTTCAGTGGTTTATGAAGCTGTTAGGAAACAACGCTGAAGTGTCAGTGAGCCGTTGTCTGTTGTTTGCCTGCCTCTTCGGCCCCATTTATTTGTGCGCTGTCATTAGTCATCGTTGCTCAGTTCAAACAGAGCTCTGAGCAGCAACCCCCCACTCCCAAAGACAGACAGCGCAGGACCGAGAGAAATCCTGTCTGGCCCAGTGCCGATGCAGAGTGACGTCATCTACATAAACATTCACGCACGAACGTCCAGTCATACACAGCAAATGTGCACTCACAAGACGCCATGGGACATCTACTCTAGCACTCTTGTGTGTGTTCGTGTGTATGTGCGGGTGAACATGTGCCGCCAAATCATCATACATACATCTTTTTTCCCCCGCTCTCCCTCTCGTGCTCCCTCTCTTTTTTTTCTCTTGCTCTCTTTGGGTCTCTTATAATTAAATAAAATTAAATGAGTCATTTATGAACCTTTGGGAGTGACAGAGGCAAGGGGCGAATAGAACATGAAGCGCACCTGTGCATTTTGCTGGCAGCGTGTTGCGTAACAGTAGCGTGTCTTCCTTGCGCTTATGGAAATATATTAGTAATGGCACTGTACTCGAGCTCTCTTCCACATCCTGTAGTGACACACGGCATCTCCCCGTTTTGTCAGCAGGCGCCTTATCGTACATGGCATGCTGTCTGTAGAAAGAAACGCTCAGGCTCTTCCATTTACACACTCGGCTGCACACTGCTGCACATACACCGCACTCGCATATTGACACACACCTGACACACCGAAGGAGGTTCCGTGGTGCAGGAAATAAATAAAGCTGGATAAATTGCTCTCTGGGGAGCCAAGTAGATTAGATGGCATGCACAACATAGCTGCTGCGTTTGGTTTTGGACCAATGTTAGGATGGGCAAATACAGGAATTGCTCATTTCTGAATCCTTTACGAGCGTTTGTTGGGAAGCGGCGATCACAGATGGAAGTCATAAATCTGCAAGATCTGCCACATTTATTTTTTCATTTGACAACTGTAAGCTCGGTGGGCACCAGAAAATTAACACTGCATGCCTCAAGAGAAAGCCTGTTAGTTTTTAGTAAAACCTTCAACAGCATCAGAAGGAGCCAAGTGAAGCTTGTTAAGCTGCCTAAAGTGATTACATTTGAGTTGGTGTCTTTTGGGTCTGAATAAAAAGTGAAAACTGAGGGAGTTAGAACGAAGCTTCAGGGCTCTGTTTCAGGTTAATGGCTCAAGGCCACATTTCCTACCCACTAGTGTAACACAACCAAATATCCAGCTAAAAAACAAAACAAAAAATTATTGGTCCAATTTTTCCATTGAGTCAAAAAGTTTGTTATCAGATTGCCCCTGGTGGGATACTGATTTATCCAGACAACTCATTATAGATTAAGGGAAGAATGAATATTTAGTGATTGGACATCACCTTATATCATTTTCAGTTTGGACAGACTGTAAAAATGAATTGTTGCTTATAGTGCTACAGGCAGTGTCACAATCGCTCTGTTAATGTTTTTGTCATCTGGTGTTAGCATCCTCTCAGGTATTACCAAAGTCCAGGGGACTTGTGCATCCAATGCATTCTCTTACCATACACGAGATCTTGTTTGGTGTTGGTGCACTGACAGACTAGCTACAACAATACTGGGTGCCAAGAGCACTCCATCCATCCATCATATACTGCTGAAGTATGGTGGTGGTAGCAGCAGGCTAAGTAGAGTGTCCCCCGACCTGCAAGTAGGTTGCAGGTCTACCCCGTGGGGTTTCCTGTCACTTGCGTGAAGGGCTGTCAAACAAAATGATGCTCAGATACTAAATGAATACTAAAAATTACTATAAAAACTACTATATTACTGCTCTTCTAATTGGTACACAATTTCAAATAGCACAGTTGCAAACAGGCAGGTAAAAAACCCCTCAACATTAGTAGTAATATGTACCGCAGTTAAAAACTTTGAGAGGAATATTGAGAGGTCATTAAATCTCATTAAATGTTAACCTGGTTCAAGTTGTTTAATTTTGACCTAATTTTTAATTTCATTTTTACTTGTTATTTAGATTTAGACACTAAATAAATTGTGTGGTTGGGTTTAGGCACTTAGATGCACTTGCTTATAGGTTAAGACTATAGTTTGGGTTGAAATACATCTGTATGAAAAATGACAAACCTAGAGTGACACGCTCATCATGTTAATACATGTACAATAACCTGATGCAGCAACAAAAACTGCAGGACTGGTGCCTCTCTGGCTGGTTCCAGACCTACCCAGACTCTACTCGAGAGTACATGTCTCGAGTAAAATCTCATTGGAGTTTCTTATTGCTTCAGTCAGTGGATTTGCGATTTAGCTGAAATAGAACAGCTAAACCTTGAGGCAATGCGGGGCCTTGTTGTGCTTTAAAGTTAACAATATTCCCAGATGCAAAAATCCTCCAAAAGCATTTAAGCACCTAATCACTATATTACTCATTATGAGTGTAAGAATGGACCACTGAGATCCATTAATCTGTGACGGGTGTGTTTGTGTATGTCTGACTGTGTGCAGGTGCATGTATGTGCATATGCATATATAATATAAATACTATAGATGATAGTTATATGAAGTTTTATAAATGTGGTGTTTATTGAATACAATATGTAGCATGCTGACTCTGGTTGATTCCCTGAATATTTCTCTGTGCTATTTCTTTCTTTTTGAAATATATTTTATGCAGTTTTTAAAATAATCTAATTGGCATTGTAGATACATACTGACTACAAACCAAAAGCTATTAAACCGTCATAATTGAAAGCTGGAAAATTTGGGTGGTAAAATTGCTGAAGCCTTCACCTGACCTAAAAGTACTGAGCCTGGTAATTATGTACCCACATGCATGAAATCGTTTTAGTGAAGCTTTTGGTCCTGCCATCACAAACCTGTGTTAAGCATGAATAGCTTCTTTACAGTGATTAGTGAGAACTGGTGTACCTTGCATTAATGCCTCTAGATAATGAAGGCAAAAAAAATGACACTACGGTTCCCTTTCAGTCACATATCTGTCAGTCAGTTTGTGCTGCCACTGTCCATGTTCGGATATTTAATCTTTTTCCTTTTTCTCTGCAGGTATGATTTAGACTGCAAGAGTGACAACCTCTCCAGACATGTGAGTGTCTCTTTCACCTCAGCTGTTCAACAATCAGCCATGCATTCATTTAAATTTTATACAGCCACAGTTAACCTTCCAGAACAATAGCAGCCTGATTTGAATTTGAATGTTGGGGGTAAAAGTAGTGATCATAAACACACATGCAAAGCAACCAAAGAGCTTTTCAGGGTGACAAGGTGGACTATTCTTTACTGACCAAGTCAAGTAAATGATCTCAGTCTGATTGAACTTTGCTCCATTTACTGAAGGCCAGAATAAAGGCTGAGAGCCACACAACAACCAAGGGCTGAGGTTTAAAGTGTTTCCTTATGTCTGTAGGTCACCAAGACCTCACACCTCATAGATGCTGTTCATGTTTAAAAAACAAAGAAAAACAAAAAATATCAGCTGATTAGAGATAAATCAGGGCACTGAGTTATGGGTGCATCTGCTACTTTGCATATACTCTTTCTTTTAATTCAAATTCAAATTTTATTTGTCACGTACACAGTCATACACAGTACGATATGCAGTGAAATGCTTGGACAACTGCTCGTGACCTAAAGAAAAAAAAAGGAAAAGGCTATGAATAAGATAGGAAATAAATATGAAAAATTAAAAAGGGTAAATTTAACTAGGAAGGAATAAAATATAAAGAAAATTAAGGTTAAAAATGAAATAACTGTACAACACAAATTAGAATGAAGGGTAAATTTAACTGGGAAAGAATAAGATAAAATATATAAATTAAAGTTGAAAATAAAATAACTGTACAACAAAATACACAATACACAATATAGAACTATATAAGAATGTATGAAGAAATATAAATAAATAAATATATATATATATACACACAATAACAGCAGCTGTACAAGTATTAACTGGAAATGAAGAATATAGTGACCAGTGTTGTGTAATCCACATTAAAATAATACTTTTTTGATACTTTTGGTTTTCTAGCACAAGTTAAATGCAAAGCGATCGAAAAGTTCCTGAAAGTTAAATACGAATTTATATTTTACCAGTCTTGCCGTTAAAGTCATCTTGTGCATTTTCCAGACCACGTTCAGTTCGGCTGATAATTTGAAATAGCTTTTTGGAAGCTGTGTTTTGACACATCTGGGAATTGACCACAGTGCTTAATAAAAACAGACTGTCCCTGAAGGCAGCACATCAGTCAGGTGTTTGATTGTGAGCACACATTTGTTTTCACAAATGTAAAGAGAATCAGAGCAGAGGTAAAATGAATGATCCATGCAATGAGATCTATTGCACGGAAACAAAATATAAATGCCAGACATGCTAACATGTGAGGCGATCGTGGCTCAAGAGTTGGCCGTTTGTCTTGTAATCGGAAGGTTGCCGGTTCGAACCCCGGCTCTGATAGTCTCGATCGTTGTGTCCTTGGGCAAGACACTTCACCCATTGCCTACTGGTGGGTGGTGGTCAGAGGGCCCGGTGGCGCCAGTGTCCGGCAGCCTCGCCTCTGTCAGGGTGCCCCAGGGCAGCTCTGGCTACAATGTAGCTTGCCATCACCAGTGGGTGGATGACTGAATATAGTGTAAAGCGCTTTGGGGTCCATAGGGACTAAGTAAATATGAGTTAAATACTGGTCATTTAACAAAGAGGAGCCTGAAGGGGAGATTGGAAAAATTGAAATGAGGTATTGCTTTTTTATTATTTTATGGACTGATTTCCAGAACATTTTGGCCCCAACTCATATGAGTTAGTGTGGCCTTAACTTCAAATAAATACATGTTGTTTGTATTTCTTGTGATAGTACTTATGGAACTTACACTTTCTTTGAGGACTAGTTTAAATGGATAGTTATCAATCAATTTGCGCTGACCCCTAAACTTAGGCAGCAATGCTACAGAGGCTATATATCTTAAAGTTCTCATTCATGTAGGTTCTATTGTTTTGTTTCTAATTTAATATGTTGAATATGTCATCTTTATCAAAAGGTGGTTTATTAATATAACAAAGAGATTAAATTTGGAGAAAAACACTGTCCTGGGCATTTGACAGCAACTCCAGGAAATAGAAAAAGCTCAACAAAATGATCAAATAAAACGCATAAATATCAGACACAGCTTCTGATCAGCTTTGTTATTTCTGGTTTTGTTTTGTCATGCTGCTGCTGATTAAGGATTCTGCTTTTCTGAAATTTGATATATCCCTGGCTTAAAGCTACAACATTCCCTTTCAGTTCAAACAGAGGTTTGAGCAGCACTAGTTCAGTATAAAACTCTCTCTTCACCTCAACACCCAGCCCCATTCCGATTACCCAGCTTCGACCTCACTGCCAACTGCTGGCGGAGCTCTTTTCCTCAGCCCCAACCTCAGCGTGCCCCGAGGCTTCCTCTGTGAGCAGTGAGCAATGTGAGTGCTGCAATTCACTCTAAGCATGAAGGCTGAGGACGCTTGGATGCGTCCTGTCGTCATTGTGGATGTGTGGGATAGGAGATCTGGCACACAGTGATGGCTCCATTGTCTAGTTCATTCCTAGTCGTGTGGCTAAAAATGAAGAAAAAATGCAAACGCACACAAGTACAGTATCTTTTTTGGCAGCTTCAGTGGCATCCTTAGAGGATGCCTCCCTTCTCTAATCAAAACAGATGTTTTCCCCCGTGCCATATGGTTCACATACCTTTAGTACTTAAAGCTGCAGGAAAAACAGTTCAGAAAGGGGACATACAGTAAAGTTGGATGTAAGGCTAGGGTATGACGTTCTTCCTAAGCGCTGCTTGTCACCACGCACAGTTATTTAACTCATGTTTTTTTGTGGAAAAATACACCAGTGCTTCTCACAAACAGCGGTCTCATTACAAAGTCTTTATTCAGCACTCGATGATAAGCAAATGAATCCAGGCGGAGAAATTGCTTTTTTGTTTGCAGGCAGTAATTAAGTTAACTGGCTGGTGTTCCCTCATGACTGCTTGAGAGACGGCTGGATTTTACTGGAGCTTTTATTCCCTTTATTAAATGTCTTGTGGTTAGAAAAGCACATCACATCTTGTTATTTGTTTAACAGCTTTTAAAAGAATAGTGGCATTTCCTTTATTAGACTGTTCACAAGTGTGATGCAAGAAATACCTACTGAGTGCAACAGACTTAAAGCCCAAGGGTCCTTCAAACAAAGTTCTGTTCTACCTTTGGTGTTGTTTGGTGCTGATGACACACCTCTTATAGTTTTCTGAAGACTTAGGATTTTAATATTTTATGTGTATTTTTGTTTGTTCAACATATTTTTCATATTATTCAAGCTAAATTTTTAGTCCATATTAAAACAATTTCTTGTAATGTGTGAGATTGTGCATATGATATGTACATATTGTATATACAATTCTGCCAAAATTCTAATTGGATCAGTAATATCCATCCACTCTCTTTAGATGGATGGATGAAGTCTATTCTAGCAGAATCTGTGTTCACTCTGGATAGCCTGCCAGTCCATCACAGACCAGACAGAGATAGAAAGTAATCATAATCACACTTACGGCTCAAATCATCATTTAACCTAACAAACATCTCTTAGAGATGTTGGAGGACTATTGCGTACTTGGAGGAAACCCACCCAGGCACAGGAAGTTGTATTTATATAGCACCAATTTACAACAACAGTTGTTTTGAGAAAGGTACTGAGAGAGGAATCTTTAATGATCAGATTTTTTATGAACAAGTACTTGGTAATGTTGAGAAGGAAGAACTCCTGTTCAACAGGAAGACACCTCCAGCAGCCCCAGGATACAAGGAGGACAGGCATCTACTACAAACAATTGGAACTGAGGGGGAAGTCAAGAGAAGAGTACAGTGACCAAGGACAAAACAACTATGGAAGAAAAAGACTAAATTAATGACATGAAGTAGCGACATATACATGGGAAGATGACAAGTAATGCTCATGGGAAGTCCCCCCAACAGCCTGAGCCTATAGCCGTGTAACTAGGGAATGATTCATTCCTGACTGCAGGCAACAACAACAACAAAAACGTTTTTTAGCCTAATCTGTAAATTATAGAGTGCGTGTGTCTGTCTGGATTGGATTTAGGTGCACAGGAGAGGGCCTGATACCCAAAAGCTCTGTTTTCCATTAGGTTTTTAAAACTCAAGGAATCACAAGTAACAGTTATTGGATTGTTTTTTTTTTCTTTTCCTCGAGTTATAGGTTTTTGTAATCATTGGTTCTTGTCTATTGCTGTCAGTTTTGCTTCCTTTGATAAGTTTCCAATGTTTTTCTTCTGCTCCTCCAGCATTAGTTTAATCTATTTTACCTATTTATTCACTTGTTACCTATCCTGTGTTAATCTCCTGTGTTCAATCAGTTAATCACCCACCCACACAGCCTGAACACTCACAAGCTGTCTCTGAATTTCCTGAAGCAGTGTGCAGAAACAGTTCTCCAGCCTTCTTGAAGGACATTCCAAAGCTCTTCTTTGGATGCTGATTGAGTTTTGTTTCGCTTTCTGTCAAGATTATCCAATTCTGCTTCAGTTATGTTGACCGCTGGGTCTCTGGAGGCCAGTCCTTGACTGATAGTGACTGATACATGCACACGTTGTTGTTAATTTCATTTACACCAAAGCAGCTGAAACTGATTAACAACCTCCTCTGGTATTTAACTGACCAAATTAATATCCCACAAGTTTAATTGACTTGATGCTTTACTCTGATTGAAACATTTTTTGAGCACTTTATATGCAGCCTGTCTTGACTAAAACAGTCATTTTTACCTGACAGAGGAGCCTCCCTTTGTGTGACCTTCTTGTATGTATATGCAAATATTCAAAACAGGGGTATGGGAGGGGCCGGCCCAGCAGTTCTTGTTTATATTGGTTCATGATATCACTGGGTACAACCAATAAGACACATAAGAAATGGTCTCCAGTATGAAGAGTCGGACAGCAGGCTCTGATATTATTCATGCCCAGTGGCTGAACAAACTGACTGCACTCCATGAACATCTGGCAATACAAATGAACCAGCTGTTAGTTGATGAGAGACACCCGGAATAGAAGGCCTGACAGTCCTGATTCCTAAGGACCCCAGAAAGGGAGCGGTCCCATCCAACTGGCCAATAACCTGCTTCGGTACCACATGATGTGGCATACAACACTAGAGGCCAACTTCAAACCCATAGCACAGGTTGCCATCAAGTGCAGGATCTACCAAGGAGATGCTATGTCCCCACTGCTGTTCTGCATAGGTCTGAAGCCCCTCAGTGAGAACATTGACAAGACTGTCTACGGATACTGACTACAGAACAGAGCATCTCCTGTACATGGATGCCATCAAGCTGTATGAAGAGTGAACAAGACATTGATTCACTGATCCACGCCACCAGGATATACAGCAATGACGTAATGTCATTCGGACTGGAGAAGTGTAGTCGGATGGTAACAAAGAGAGGGAAGGTAGTCAGAACTGAGGGTATCAAACTAACAGAAGGCAACATTGCAGACATACAGGACAGCTACAAGTACCTGGGCATCCCACAGGCAAATGGGAACCACGAAGAGGACGCTAGGAAAGCTGCAACCATCAAGTACCTGCAGAGGGTCAGGCAAGTCCTGAGAAGTCAGCTGAATGGCAAGAACAAGATCCGGGCTATCAACACCTACGCCCTGCCCGTGATCAGGTACCCTGCTGGGATAATGAGCTGGTCAATGGACGAGATAGAAGCCACTGACATCAAGACCAGGAAACATGCACCATGAATGGAGGGTTTCACCCCAAGTCCAGCACCCTTAGGCTGTACGCTAAGTGGAAGGAAGGAGGCCGGGGACTGGTGAGTGTCAGCACCACAGTCCAGGATGAGACAACAAACATTCAAGATTACTTACTACTGCTTGTAAGATGACCACAACCGATCACGTGCTCAGTGAATACCTCTGGCAGCAGAAACCCAAGAAAGAGGAGCAAGAGGAGGAACCCATCATGGAAGGACAGGCCCCTGCTCGGCAGTGTTGGTCAAGTTACTTGAAAAAAGTAATCAGTAACTAATTACTGATTACTTCCCCAAAAAAGTAATCCCGTTACTTTACTGTTTACTTATTTTCAAAAGTAATTAATTACTTAGTTACTTAGTTACTTTTTAAAAACACGATTTACAACCTGAAGAGGTGATAAA